AAGTAACAACGAGCTGGAGAAGTGCTCGGTGTTGGCACTAATTTATGCTCTTAGCGCCTACAAGTTATTTGACAAGGCTGTCAAATGCCTTGACTCATTGTTACCATGGTAACCACACACTAAACTCTGTATCCCAAAGCTTCATTTTTGTTTTTTCCTGATCTTAAATTTGTCTTCACGAACTTCTGAAACTCTCTTGTACACGAGTATTTTCACTTTATTATACACAGATATCTTCCTTCCACAGATATTATGAAGCTCTGTTACTTGCATTAAGGCTACAGATGGAATAAATGCCTCTGTTTTAAGAGACGGTGTTGTTGGCCACCTGAATCAATAATTCCTAATACTTACAGAAGATGGTAAAAAAAAGTCTAGAAGTGTTTTATCCCTGCTGTACTAAACACCCCCACCCCACTCTATCTTCAGGTCTTGTGTTTATTTCTTGCCCTCTGTGGCCTGTGTTGTTAAAATCCACACTTCTTCCACGGCCCTGCTGAGCTGAGGTTATAAGATGCGTTTTTCAAACCAGTATGGATCATTTCAAAGACGGACAGCAGAGGCTCCTTGTGCAGGTACAACCCAGGACGGGAGCGGATGTGTTAGACCAGGGGTGCCCACACTTTTTCGCCTTGTGAGCTACTTTTCAAATGACCAAGTCAAAATGATCGACCTACACTAAAAATACTACACATACACAAAAAATACATGTATGAATGCGTGTCAGTTTCTGCTTTTCCTGTTAGGGGTCGCCACAGCGAATCGTCACACTGACATTCGCATGTTAACATTTGGCACGTGTTTTACGCCGGATACATCTAATTTATTTTCAAATGGCACATGATCTACCAATACTACCTTTGCGATCGACGTATTGGGCACCCCTGTGTTAGACCCAAGAGGCCACGTTCTGTAGAACATAAAGAGTGCGACAAAGAACAAGGCAAACCCAGGGTTAACATCAGTTTGGCGTGTTGTAGATGGAAAGCATTAAAAGCATCTAAAGACTAAAATTTGAGATGTGGCTTTCTTCCTTCTAGAGGTGTAAGTACTGTAGCCAGTAACTTGTATATGTCGGCATCATTAACAAGCCAACATCAGCATTTCAATTTTGTACCTCTGTATTGAATTACTCTGGCTGTAATTGGGAGTCATTTTAACTGACTGCAGCGTTAGTGTTTTTTGTCCAATTAGAGGAAACTAGTCGGTTTTCCACCACTGTTTCCCCTACCATCAATATGGTGGGGTGGCCCGCAGGGCCAACACAATCTTGTGCCTCCCATAAAGAAAGGCACAAAGCAGATACATCTTACTGGGAAACATACCCGCTGCTGCCGGCAGGCTTGCCCTCCCTGACCTAGGGAAAACACTGTCCCAGATTAGGAAATGAAGTAATTTTGCTCAGTTTGCTCATTTTTGGTCCAGGCCACATGGTTAGTTTATGTCAGACATAACACTGCAGTCCATGTAGCATTTTTAGTGAAATACTGTTAAAATTTACACCATCAACAACTAGAGAAGTGGGAAGTTTGTTCACTTATCAAAGCATAACATGCAATTTCTCATTTCACATATAACTCAGTTACCTCATAATGTTATGTGTGTCAAGTATATAAAGACGGGATGCGATGCGATGCGATAGTGGCCAGTACATTGGTACCGTATCAGTATTACTGGGGAAGACGTTCCTTTGTATAATTTACTTGTGTTACTGCTTTAGGTAGGAAAAAGGACTCGTGTCACTGCAATGCCACCGAAAACCAGGAGCTCCATGGGCTAGATTCCTAACGCGTCAGTTCTGGAGCCGGTTATTATGCTGAGCTAGCTGATTTCCCAGTCTATCTCTGGCTGTAGTTACCACATATGATGTTATTTCCCCAAACAGGGTGGGGGGGTGGAACAGAGGGAGAAGAGGAGGGGTTACCGCCTGAGTTTGTTTTGACTCTCACTCACTCTCTAACAGTTGAAAGTTGGAGGGTGAAAAGTAGTTGGAGCTACTTTAAATTAAAGTGTACATTGTGGTATAAGCTTATTTTCATTATAAAGCCAGTAAGAAAAAAAAATCCTATATAGTAAATCCTTCTCTGACCGACCAGGTGTGAAGTAAAAGATACTTTGTTTTTTTTTTTCTTCACTACAAACACTAACACCATAAACTAAAGTGTCAGTCATTGCCATGAGTCAATGTCTATGAAGTTGCCCTCAACAAAACTCTAACATTATGCTCCTTATACTGCAACATGTAGAAGCAACACCAGGAGTAAAACCCCAACCAAAGGGAGATTCTGTGTTTGCATCAGTGAATGAGAACACATTTCCTCTCTTTGACTTTAAGAAAGTCCCCCTGAGTGGTGTTGCCTCTTAATTCAACAGTAAATCCAGACACGCACACACACACACAAAAATCAAACTGCGGCTTCTCACCGTGGCCGTCTTCTCTCTGAGCCATTCTGGATCTCTCTCGTCCTCACTATCCACATCCATCTCCTGGGGCCGCAGGGGCATGCAGCTGTCACTATGGAAGTAGAGGCGGTTGTGCCCACTGACGTAGGTCCTTTGTTGCTCTAACTCTCCGTCCTCAGACTCCAGGAACTCTGATAGACTTGGTTTGGTCCTCTTGGGCCTTGTGAAGTGGGAGAGAAAACAAACCGGTGGAATTTTAAATTGTTATCTTAGATTTTTTATTATTTTTTTTTTTTGGACATTACATATACTGTTAGTTCACTTATCTCAATACTGGGCTATATGGGGCATAGCCCAAATTCTCAGTACAAATTAACCAGAGTGATGTTTCATGGATTGTTATAAAATGCAAAACTTTTACACATCAAGTCATCAGCTTCAGACAACTTTATTGTATTTACCACACTACATTTTAATATCCACAGTAGTATGAGACAGTCACAGACTGACAGTCGGTCTCTTTAGGGTCTTTAAAGATGACCGATGCCTCAACCTGCTCTTGGTCTTAAATACACTAAAATCTGGTTACTGCTCATGAACAGCTTATTAAAGCTAATTCAGATAGACTATATGAAATACCAATAAAAAAAACAAACAAACAAACACACAGAGATGCTTTAACTTTGAACATGAACACTGCTTTTGATCCAAGGTCACTAATTTACCTGCTAACCAGTATGTGAGTGACAGCAGTCCTCTTGACTGGGCCGTTGCGGCTGAAAGCAAAGCCTGGCTGGCTGTGGATGTCCTGAGGGTTACCGACGTACGAACCGTCATAGCATTCATTGATGGACACGTCTATCCTCGCACCTTTGGGGTGAGGCTGCAGATTTGAAAAAGATTAGTGAACTCAGGAAATTCTACCCAGCAACAACAGAGGGCCTTGATCTTGTTCTGCTCAAGGCAAACCCTTCACCAACTGTCAACGTTTAGAGTGTGATTTCTCAAAAGGATAACCCGGAACGTGCTTTGAATAAAAGTGACCTTAAAAAACAAACAGCAAACAAGTTGCTTTCCTCCTTTGAAATGAGCTCAAGGCAGTTTAGCCCAAGCAACATGTCTGGCCCTCAAAGCGCAGTTACTTCAAGATACTTGAGGAAATTTCTAAATGTTATAATTTAGTCCCGTTTACAATAAGAGCACAGTCTGCTGTACCTGAAGTAAAACATCAGCAGGTTCACACTCAGCTCGCCTGAGGAGCAGGATACAACAGTATGACAGTGCATCGCAGATGGTCTGCACAGTGAGCAGAGGCAAGTATATTTTACAACATCTGCAGTGCAGTTGCTGCTAATCCAAGCATCATAGAAGACAAGTAGCAAATCAACTACAACCCAGCACTGAATGACCCCATAACTGTCTTAAACATAACTTACAAGCACACACACTGATCCCGATTATGGTTTTTGCACCAATCCTGACTGAAGTCACATGACAGTGTAAACCTTATGAAATTATCAGCACAGCTTCATAGCACACACCTCTAAAAGGATAAAGCTCATGCCAACTATGTTGATTATCATCATCAACAATTCCCCTTAAAATAACCCCACCAAAACCACAAATGTATTTATCCTAACAAGTACTGTGTGTGCAACCACAACTGATGCAGCTGCAACTCTTGTTGTCTATTGCAAACATTACAGCTCATAAAAAAAAGAGACTGCAGCTGCATCTTTCATTACAATGTACAGTGGGTA